CCCCAAAACCCCAAAACCCCAAAACCCCAAAACCCCAATTTGTTAAAAATATATTGAATTCAGTAAAATATGCAGCAGAAATTTTACTGCAATGGAAAATGTAATCTTCATCTGTTTTAATCTTCAATCCTTGATAAGTAGTTCTTTTTGAGAATAATTCAAAAGAGTATGCTTTCTAGGAAGTTTTCTTCAATCTGAGCGATACCTATCTATTGATTTATAGGGTACATTGCAGAGCCAGAAGGAGAGGAAGAGAAGATTTCATGCAAATTTACTTTGCCCAATCTAAAACAGTTTTCACTTTCCCTTCGCAGTAAATATATCAGCAATGTAAAGAAGGTGACTGAGTTATGGAGAATAATGAAGAAACCTGTCAATATTGTCTCTGATTATATCACTGAAATTTTGAAAGAGGATAGTCCTCCCAAGTCAGTTAAAAATATCCAGTGAGATTTCATTGAGGTGAAAGATCAACAATGCCAAGTTCGGATGGGCTCATGAACTCTCAAAAATCTCAAAGGTAAGATGAAAGAGAAAGTACTCGAATATTTAGATAACCAGGACTTCACAAAAGAGTCATCAAGTTTGGCTATAAGAAGTAAGTTTAGCTTATGATTTCAGTGAAAAATTGCAATTTTGAAAACCGCCCAACCAAAGATAAAGGGGTTAATGCTCTTCCTATTCTCATGAAGGTCAGCCAGCATGTAAGATTCAAATATTTACAAATATAGCTTCCAGAAATAGAAAGAAGAATTCCTAAAAAGAAGACTGAGAATTTAATGAAAATGAAAAAGAGGAAAAGAAAAGATTTAATTGAAGAAGGGAAGCGAGTGAGATTTATCGACATTACTGAGGAACCCAGGAAGGTATTCTCCCATTAATCTTTCATTTAGAAAGAAAAATCAAAAATAATCGACAAACTCTTGACAAAATAAGCAAAGTTCTTTACGCAAGCATATTAAGTCTAACAAACTTCACTCCTCTGAGATTCAAGCCTTCTTCAAGAAAAGTAAGCTTGCTAGATAACTTCAGCAATTGGAAAAATGTTGGATGAACATAGCAGCGAGCAAACAAAGCAGATAAAGGAGACCATTTATTCTTACGGCCTTGAAGGTATTTCAGAGAAACAAGATTGTATCATCACCAAGCAAGAGCAAAGTAAGCATAATGACTATTATTTTTAGTGGAAGAAAGAATCCAAGAACTGAAGAAAGATATCAATGATTTAAAATAATAAAGAACCTTCAACAGGTGCTAGTTCAGTAAAATCTGATGAGACATTCGGTGAAGGCTCTAATAATTATTGTTCTAAAAGTACTGAAGAAAACTTAAACTGCAAAGCAAAGATATCTGAAGAGGTTGAGATTAGCATTCCAAATTTAAGAGATAATTTAGAAGATGAAACCAATAATCAGAATCAAAACTTACAAAGAATATCGTCGAATTCAGATACTTTTAAAGAGCCTCTCCATCTTGGTCAAGAAGTATCAAAAACTCAAAATATTTTTGAGACACATATTCCTAATGCAGAACATCAAATTACAAAATTAGACAATCAAGATAAAACTGCAGAGTTAGATACAAATAATGCAATGGATACTTCCTCTACCCCAGAAAAACCAAATTTAGATGAAAATGGATGTCATCAACAAAATTTCAGTGAAAATTTGCAACCCATTGCTAGTGACCAAGATTTCAGTAATTATTTTGTAATATTTTTATAGAGAATACTAAAGCAATATCTCCAACAAGCCAAAGGATTTTTGGACAGTTTACAAATACTCAAAATCAAGTAATTAATAAAGCAATTAAATTTCTATTTTATTTGTTCTAAGCATTACACTTCCCTAATCTTTATTTTTAGGTCCATAACAATCCAAAGCCTATGTTTGAGAGAGATTACACCAATCACCAAAATAGTTCATGAGTAAATATTAATCCAACAAATCTCAATGAAACCTTAAACCAAACTCATCCTCAAGAAACTATGTCTTCTCAAAATATGTTCAGTGTCAATTCTCTACCAAACTTAGAAGAAAAATTAAAGGAAAAATAGCAATCCTTTTCTATCTATGAAGAATGCAGCACCATTAAATCTATTCTCAAATAATACAGCACATCAATCTGTGAATCAAGACTCTAACAATTGCTTCATCCAAGAGCCGACTGGAAGGTCTAGAACTTGCTTTGTTCCGCATAGAAGAGAAATGAATGATACAAATTCCCAGCAACAATCTCAAGGCAGTTTATTCTTATTCCAAAATAATAAAAATAGGAAATTTTAAGAGGAAAAAACAAGATATTTATATTAGATAATCGGCATAAATATTCAACAAATCTTAAATTTAAAGTATTCTTGATAGTTATTCCCAAGGTCAATGAAAACTAATTCTTGAGGAGCAGAAAAGATTTATAATAGGGATATAGACAAATATATTCTAACCAACTATTTATAGCAAACTCAAGAAAATATATAATATCTGAATATTTCATGCTCTTTTCCCTCTCTTCTATCCGCCTTTCATCCATACTTATTTTGGTTCTTCAAAATTAAATAAATATTATGGGGTTTTGGGGTTTTGGGGTTTTGGGGTTTTGGGGTTTTGGGG